AAAAAAAAAAAAAAAAAAAAAAAAAAAAAAAAAAAGCCTCCAAGTTATCCATCTATGGACACTTAAATCCTTTTTAATTAAATCCAAAACTCAATTCGATGCACTTTAAGCACTAAACTCCCTTTTTCCAACTAAGCCCTTGAGTAAAAAAAATTTTAAGTTCAAAATGTTTCAAGTATTACATTAATTTTCAGTCACATGATTGGATGTTAGGAGTTGCTGGACTTGTGATTGTTTGCATGTCTGGATTATACATTTCTCATTTTGAATCATTTGCATTATTCTGAGATGGTATTTGAAAAAATTCTTTTCTCTTAATTTCTTCTTTTCCTTCTTTTTAATTAAAAAAATTTTTAGTAATCTCTAATCTTTTGAAAACCGTAGAACATAGAACTATATGAGAAGTTTAGTTCCCTTTTTTCTTTATATAGTATTTTTTTCCCCCCCAATTTTTATCTTCTGTCTTTATTCTAACAAATGACAATGGCAGATTTTAGGTAATGCATTAATTTAAGCTAAAATTATTTATCTCTTTGCTTCACCCTTTCCTTCAAGGTCGTTTAATGGAAAAAGGTTTCATCTACCTGTTTCCTTTTGTTTTCATCTAGTTGTGGTTAGCGTCTACACCAATTTTGAAACTTATAATTGCTTTTTTTTTTTTTTTTTTTTTTTTTTTTGGTTCATTGATTTTGGTTTAGGTTTAGGAGAAGGATGATTGTACTAAGATGTAGAGGATGAGGTCCCAATAAAAGGGGGGAGGGGAAGAAACCATTTGTATAAATATGTTAGGTGTTATTTTGGTTATTTTTGTTTTTACTTTTTTTGGTCATCTAAAAAAACATTCTTACAATTCAAAATATTATAACTAGCTATCTTCCAGATTTATCCTTCAATAAATTTTGACAATAATAAAGAGGCTCTACTTTTAGAAAAAAAAAAAAAATTTGCTAACCTATGCTCTACGGTTAAAAGCGCATTATTTGCATCTTTTTTTCCTCAATTATTATGAAAAAATAAAAACTAGTTTTAATTTTATTAATCATCTAATTAAAAATATCCATGTGGTATTAATGTTAAAAATAAAATTAATTTTTTTTTATTATTTCATACAAATTAATGAAAAAATGTGCAATTAATGCAAATACTCTAACCTCACAAGCTTAGAAAAACCAAGGTTTAAGTACCATTTTAGTCCCTCAACTTTACACATTGGTACCAAAATTGTCCTTCATCTTTAAAAAGTACCAAAACTATCCTTGAACTTTCATTTTTAGTACCAAAATGGTCCTTCTGTCAGTTAAATGACAGATGTCACGTTAACTTGCCAACAAATCACTTAACTTTTTAAATGTTAATGACGTATAAATCCAACAAGGAAAACTCCCATTTTTTTAATCAGTTAATACATTAAAAAATTAAAATTACTTAAATGCCCTCATCCTCGCCCTCCAACCTTCCTTTCTTCTTTCTCCTGCATCTCCTCCAAGCTCCAAGCAAACCAACAACTTCGAAAAATCTAGCAGCTCAAAAAAAAAAAAAAGAGCAATGGTAAACTCAGATTTCCATGGCTTAATCTCTATAAAAAAAACAAAATTTTTATGTTGAAAGCTTCACTTTTCCTTGGATCTATAAAAAAAATTGTGAACCAATTTGACAAAATCTTGTCTCCCTCCACCTCAAACCTTCCCCTCTGCAACAATCATTCTCCTTCCTCAGATCTATAAAAAACCCAAAATTTATATGTTGAAAACTTCAATTTTCCAACCATTCAAGTAATTAATGAAAAATTCAAGATCCAAAAACAACTTGCTCACGCAGGCAGCCATGCCCAGCGTCCTTGCGTCCACATGCTTCAACTCCTCGAACAACAGATTCTCGTCTAAATTCACAAACCCAGTTTCTTCACCTCGAACACGAGGGAGTAGCAGTGCCACGAGTGCGTCCCAGTTTCTTCACAAACCCAGTTTCGAGGAAGTATTATATGCAAGAGAACCCAGATCTGGGTTTTTCTCAAACCTAGAATCTGGTGCGAGGCTGCTGAAATGCCAGATCTGGGTTTGAGAAAAACCCAGATCTGGGTTCTCTTGCATATAATACTTCCTCGAAACCCCTTCCCTTATAAACCCAGCCTTTTCCAGCACCCTTTGCGACCCAATATTCTCCACATCCACCAGCGCCTCAAGCTCCTCAAACCCACCAAACTCTGGGTTTTTCCCAAACCAGATCTGGCATTTCAGCAGCCTCGCACCAGATTCTGGGTATGTTGTCCTAGGTCGAGAGAGTGAGATTGAGTTGAGAAATCCAACTCGTAAACGATCAAGGAGGAATTTGGAAAGGGAAGAGAAGTCGAAAGAGATTGAGAAGGAGAAGCAATGTTGGGGAAGAGTGAAGAGGAAGGGGAGAATAAGGAAGAAGAAGGTTAATTTTGAAAATGATTTTAATTAATTAATAATAAATGGTTTTTATTTATTTGTTTAAAATTAAAAATGCCATGTAAACAAAATAACGTGCCATCTCATCAATTTTCGTGTGTTATCTTTTCCACATCAGCATGTTTTCAAAAAATAAAAAGATTTGCTGGCATTTTAACGTGTGACCTGGCATTTAACTGACGGAAGGATCATTTTGGTACCGAAAATGAAAGTTTGAGGATAATTTCAGTACTTTTTAAAGTTGAGGGACAATTTTAGTACCAAAATGATAAGTTGAGGGACCAAAATGGTACTTAAACCAAAAACCAAATAATAAAAGGGCAAATGAATAAAGTTAATATTAAATATTTCTATATTCATG